TCAATATTCCCCAAAATAATTTATTGAAAAAGTTGGACATGGACTGAAACTCATACATAGAGTTTGTGATTATATCAGTTTAAGGGGACGACCACTAATGGTAAGTCAATGATATATCTATTTTGTAATTAGGTCAGTTAAAAGGGAAGCATTTCTGGTAAGTCAATGAAATTTGGTATGCATTTGAATTAACATTAGTAAATCTCGTGTCCATGGAGATTATTTGGCAATGCACTTCCCTTTTCTTCCTCAATCATCAAAAGAGACTATCGTTTCCTTCCAAGTATGCAGGTAAGTTATTGTTTAGCCCTTTTTTTTCAGTTGTCTTGAATGACAAAGTGTTCCTGAATTGTAGTGTTTGGAATAATCATCATATCCATCATTTCATTTTACCAAGTATATCTCAGATAGCCTATGATCCAGTGATGCCGTTTAAAAAATCATTATTTTCTTTAAACTATATAAATTCATATATGGGATTACACAAATTTCCACTTTTTATATTTCCCCCTGATGGAAACGCCATACTCCAACTCTTAATAAAAGTTAAACTGGGCTTCCATATAATTCCAACCCTGGCTACGTCCCTGAAAGTATTGTGTAATTAGTGTTTTTAGACTTTGGTGATTTAAGAAATTCAGATCTTTGGATTTTTTTAGAATCCACGTGATCAACCAATTGTACTCAGTAATGCTGAAGCCCTTTCTTCACAGCCAGAAGAATTGAAGTCAGAACTTTTGAAAATGGTTTTTGTGATTACCAGGCAGAGCCTGCAATATAAAATTCATGTCAAATGAAGTTGTCCCCATTCAGAATTACACGATGGGCAACGTTTCTTAAAAAGTCGTGTTATAAAAGCAATTTCGATCATTTAAATATGTCTAGATGGACAAAGTTAAACAAGGTTCCCTCTAAAATCTGACAAGGACTTCAAGAAATAATCAGTGTTAACGTTGGTAACGCATCACAGCCTAGTTTTGAGAGCCATTTATAAACATGTATTGCCAAACAAATTAAGTTATTTCTTGTGTGTCAAATCGATACTAAATTCAGTATGAATGCGTTGATGTGTAAGAGTAAAGTTGGGCACCAGATGAGCGATGGGCTACTACTGGCCTTTGGTTATTTAAAAAAAACAATGTTTCTACTTTAGACGAAGAATAAGTTGAGGAATCCAGTGCTTCTGGTTGAATAAGAATTTGAAATTAATGCAATAAATCTATCTATTACCCTAAATTTTTGAACATTTTATGCAAATCATCTAAGAAATCCTTAACGTAACCATCTTTGGTCGTTTCGGAAAGCCATCTACCGTATCTCTTAAAAAGGCGGTCTGGTAAACCTAAATTAGCACAAACACTGGCACCTCCAGACCTTAAACTGTTCAACCCATATCGCTAAATGTCATGAACAAAAGGCTTGAAAGCTTCAAAAAAGAGTTCACGCATCCTCGAATACGATTATGTAACGTTGTATTCTCTTTACGCAAAACATAGACATCTTTACATTTGGTCAAATTTCGAAAAATAAACATCAGAATCGCCAGAAATATCAGCCCACTGCAAATATAATTCCACGTTTTTTACTGGACACTTATTCGAATTTGTACGGGCAATTAATACTGAATTACCATCTCTATATACATCTGTTTTACTATGTTGAATGAAAATTGACATATAACATTCTAAAATTACTATATCACTTCTTCGAATATTAAGCAACTCAGAAGCTCTTAAAAAACCAGCAAAAGCAATGAAACACGCACATATAATACGTTGATTATACAAATTACCAAACGAAAACATGGCATCATACATTTTATGCAGCAATTCTACCGAAATAGGTTCTTTTTTATTCGTAGGAGTAGCCAAACTACTTTTCGTACCTTCTAAAACATTAATTACTAAAGACGAATATGTCGGTGAACATCATGAGCCAATAAGAGAATGTATCTACTTTAAAGAGTAAAATGCGTGAACAACTGGACTAACAGTATTGCACGACAGCTGTGTCAAGGAAGCTAAATATATAGCAACGTAAAAAGCTGGTAAAATGTCACTGTTTTCAATTCCGTTCAATGTGGCCCAATTCTTCCACCGTAAAAAACATTGATAATATCTCTTTGTAGTAGAAACTTCTCGAGATTCCGAAATTAATTCTGGAAGTAAATTCACTTTACTAACTAGTGAGACAGGTAAATTCTGTAATTCTCCAGCAAATGCCTACAAAATATATATTTGTAATTGAAGGAAACATTAATTATGAAAATTATTTATAATTATAACAATCTGCTTAGTACTACGAATATAATATAATCACTGTAATATTCGCCACTGTCAACACAAAATCTCAAAGAGATTATAATACTTATGAAGATAACATTCTATATAAAGAGATCAAGAGAGGTCTATAATACATGCTCACATCAAAATGATCTAACTGAATGAAAAATCCATCCTTAATGCTAACAAGCGAAAAGTTAAATCAACATTGTCAAATATGGCCTTCTTTTTCTTACCAGCTACATAAGCATTTTTGAAAGTAGGAAGATCTATAAAATTTGCCACCTCAGAAATGAAACCCTCACCAAAAGGACAAAGCATTGGCAAATAACTGGCCCTTTATAACTGCCAAAGGGCCAGTTAGGTAAAATTAAAGTACCTACAGCCTTACACTGCCGCATATACATTAATACGCGAGGGATCAAAGAAAGAGGTGGAGCAAACAACCCGTTGATCCCTCGCCAGTCAACCAAGAAAGCATCAATGCCTGATGAATACACATTCCAAAATCTGGAGAAAAAAAAATTCAATTTAAAATTGTCATCAGAGGCAAACCAATCAACCTCATGAGGCCCCAAAGGGATTCAAATATCTGAAATAAAAATTCAGAAATTGCACAATCATCTGAATCAATAATCCGACTACGATAATCTGCTCTCTCATTCTCAGTACGTGGGATCCATACAATATCTATATTATCATTGTGTTTTTAAAATACATGTCTAAAGCTTACTTTTGCAGTACTGAGTTAGTGCTCCCTTTACTAACAATACTAACAACATTTTGCTTGTCGGTAAACCATTTTATTTCCTGCCACTTAAAAAGTTTATCAACGACAAAAATACATTGTTCACGGCAGTCAACTCCTTCCATGTGGAACTAGTAGAAACCTCAGATTCTAACAACGTACCGTGAGCAATATTATATGAGTTTTCAAAGCTACAAATACTTTACCGTTTTTGGTTAAACAAAAGTCAATGTCCGAAATGGTATTCATTATCTTATCAATACGATTGTCAGGAATAGTAAAAACTCCTTTATCTGTATCAATATTAGTGCCATAAAAGGTGAGGTTTTTAGTAGGTGTCCACATAGACTTTTCAGCCTTAGGTACGAAACCGCTACTTATTATATCTTGTTTAACCTGTATAGCCATTCGAGTACACAATTCCTCATCATCATGTACACCAAGTCCATCATCTAAATACATTATAATCTTATATATTGTAAAAATGTATATCAACTCCACAATGTATAATTTAATAAAAATGTTTCATTCGATGAAAACATATCCCGTCCGTTTGACTGAATATGTTTAATCTTTAAAATTTTTCCTTATATGATTTTAAAGATTTAAAACGCAGCTTTTAGAAATGAATATATCTGACAAGGAAATGATTAATAAAAAAAATCATCGTTGATGGCGAGGTTATTTTATTTTTTTTATATTGTTTGGCAATATATAAAGATGCAATAAAACATGAAAACCTTAATTTCTTGATGGGGTATTGCAGGTATATTTTAGGTAATTTTTGTTATTTATTATAATTCATACTTTAACTTTTGCAATAAAATGTCTGTGTGATATCAACAGATTTCGCTTTGTCTGTCTCTCGCTTTGTCTGTCTCTGGTTTTAAAAGTCGAGAAAGTAACATCATATTTCAAAAGAGAAAAATAAAACATTATGAAACGAAACATATTCTCTTTTTAATTTGTCTTAAATTTTATAAAAAGAAAATAGTTCAGTCATAAAGTAAGTAAGTGCGTAAGTAAGTAAGTGTGTGAGTGTGAGTGTGAGTGTGAGTGTGAGTGTGAGTGTGAGTGTGAGTGTGAGTGAGTGAGTCAATGAGTCAGTGAGTCAGTCGGTCAGTCAGTCAGTCGGTTAGTCGGTCGGTCAGTCAGTCAGTCAGTCAGTCAGTCAGTCAGTCAGTCAGTCAGTCAGTCAGTCTCAGTCAGTCAGTCAGTCAGACAGTCAGTCAGTCAGTTGATTCCTTTTTCTTTGCAACTCATTTGTTCAATAGAACCGTTGTGAAGCAATGAGAAAAATGAATCCAGATCTGTAAATGACGTTGCTCTGTTAACTTTACAAAATTTTATTTAAGGAATGACTAATATTTTTTCTGTTATTTTAATGAAGAAATAAATTCAAAAATGTGGTGCATACTGAATAACCCGCGTAGCGAGTTATTTAAAAGTGTGCACCACATTTTTTAGGTTATTTGGAATAGACAGAAAAAATATTACAGTCATTCCTTATTATTTAAAGAAGTAAATCATGGAAAAACGTTGATCACGTCACGGTCACATGACAAAATTAAGTCTATGAGCTGATAGACAAAAAACTTCCTATATAAAGGTATACACAGCCAATCAGAAGACGTGTTACGTCCAAAATTATTTTTTTTTCATCTCTTTATTTCAAAACAATGAACTTTTATCCTTGTGGTCATTCAAGCATAGTTAATTAGCACACGGGAAAAGTATGTGCTATGAAACTTGGAAGGTAAAATCTAGCAATTTGATTGGACAAGGAGTTATTTTAGATATGTGCTAACAAGTTTTTTTTTAATATTTTACCACCTATAATATTTAAGATGATAGAATAGCCAGAATAAACCTGTATTTTAGAATAGCAAGAATAAACCTGTATTTTAGAATAGCAAGAATAAACCTTTATTTTATCTATATAAATAAAATTTAACTATCTTGCCCTTCGTACTTTTTATTATACAAACACCGGCACAGAGTACACATAAACCAACGTTATGTTGTGTAATAACGGTCATCGATTAACAGGTAATGTTGTTTTTTCTTCTTCAATATAATATAGTTATAAATTTTCTTTAATAACTTATTAAAGCTTATTAAATAAGCAAATTTTAAGCATACATACTCATTTTATACACAGGAATTAGATCCTTGTATTACACAATCACATTTCAGTATGGAGGACAGTTTTACCACTTATAAAATAGTACTTATTTTGAAATCTGTGTGAATTTGAAACCGCTTTATCATTCCCGAGATCATTCGTATAAAATGATGTATATAAAGTCCGTTATTCGATATTCAATAAACAATATTAAGAATTTCTAAGTCATATGTAACGAAACGGAATTGAGCATTCAATAACATCAAAACTGTCGGTTAAGACCTGTCACAAAATTAGTAAAAATAGTACGTGCAAAAAGGGGGTGTCTCAACATACACATTTGGGTACAGACGTCCTACTGGGTTTAAAAACCACACCAATTCATATATTGATTCTAGCGAAAATCTCTAAAGTAGGAAAATCATATTTCATTCATATTTTCCCAAGAAATACAATCTGCACATGCCATGATCTTAATTAGATTATCTTAGATGATACCCATGCACGCGGGATCATTTGCAGTAAATGTAAGACCCATTGACATATAAATTAATTTCTTTCTATTGGTAAATACAATAATAATGATCTCCGTGAAATTGCACTCCATTGACATATTTGACATTCTGGAAAAGTAACCCAGGCCATACCAGCGACAAGTCTGTGTATACCTTTATATAGGAAGAGACCCCATCCCCGGGAAAAAGAGATGTCGAAAATCGTTTTGTCTGTAACAAGTTATCGTAAATTCCAGGGCCTACTTCGATTCGTCCAACTCGGGTTACTCGAGTTAAATTTTTAGGAATGATTGCGCATGCGTCAAGAGCGTATCAATCGATTCAAAAACTCTGGAGAGTTATTCCGAGGTCCATCGTTTACCTTAACAACATGGATGAATTTACGATACTAAACCATATTTTTAGTGATGATGAACAAACGATGGCAATTCAGTATATAATTGATTCTAACAAAATCTTAATACAATCATTGACAACTTTGTTGCCCAGGGACCATGTGCCACGTATACAAAACTTTGCCGAGGAGACTGTACCAAGATTTTCCACGAAAGATTTCAGAAGCAGTTTCCGCATCGGTCAAACTACTTTTGAAATTGTGCTTCAAGAGGTCGCACCCCTCTTGCAATCTGACAATAACAGTTAACAGCTAAAAAAATATTCACAATAGCCGATAACAATGAATAAAAAACGCCCAGAACACAAGAACAGTAAACGTCACCTTGTCCCCCCCCCCCCCCCCCCCCCCCCCCCCCCCCCGTCTGAAAAGTATAACGGAGGTACACATGTGTATATTTTAGCGAATATTTACAATTGATGGACATTGATGTAATACAATAGATATATATTGTGGTGTTTTAATGTGACTATTGTAATTGAACACTTAAACTTCTATTTTGTCACATAAAATGGCTAAAATCCGTTTAAATCGTAAAAAATATATTTTCGAAAAGCACTCACGTCTCTTTCGTCGCCATCTTGCCGTTTAACTCGACTCGATTAAACATGGCCAGGGGCAGGGTTGATATCGAGTTAACTCGAGGGTTGTAAAATGATTGCTCGGGTACTTCGATTGCAACTCGAGTAACTCGGGTTACCCGAGTTGGACGAATCGAAGTAGGCTCTGTTGTTCTAGAATATAAACCCTCCGACTAATCGGAATGATCTCTTTACAGTTTACAAACTTTATCAATTTGATGCAATGAAAAAATTGTTCCTTTAAAACATAATATATCTTAAAAAGAATACAAAACAACCGACACTCTAGATCTAGACTAGTACATGTAACATTCGAAAATATACGCGCTTCATACAAAATGTCCTTCGGTCAACGCTTTTACACCCCAATAAAATTATGGTATTGGTTTTATATGCATTTGTTGTATACGATTTAAATGAAAATTAAAAGAATGTGATTGAAATATTTATAATTTAATGTGAAAAATAGGAAGAACGTGTTTGAAATGTATCTTATTTTCATTGTCAGGGGCGTAGCTACCCGGAGGCACGGCAGCATGTGCATCCACGTCGTTTTCACAAAAAAAAAAAAAAAAAAAAAAAAAAAAAACAGAGAGATTTAGGGACAAAGTTAACATATAGGAATTGGTCTTTCTATGTATGCATTTTAAAAACTACATAAAGAATAAAAGCAAGAAGAATACACATGCAGCGGAATTTTTAATCCTGTAAGACATGTATGTGTACGATAAATACATACAACTGGGGTAAACGTAGTGGAACTTTTTATTTTACAGGCATTGTTTAGAAAATACCAGCCACATAGTTGTCGGTACCACAACCATACCGTATACTCGCTTTGAGTGCAAAAAAAAAACATAATCCCTTTAGGGTTAAACAAAAAACTTGAAAATAAATTATTTTCCGCTTTGCCAAAAGCACACATCTTACCAGAACGAAGACCCTTCAACTCGTATCGATTCGGGAATAATGACTGTTACCCTGTGAACTAGTTCAAAATGGACTAAGTATGTAGGTCTTGACAACACGCATAGTTTCATTTTCACATCACGTCAACGTCAACGTATTCTCGTCCTGCGTGCATGTAATATTTGCTACCGGACATTAATAACCATTCAATCAATCAATAGTTTCTGTATACTAGTAGATGAGAAGTTGGAACTGCTGTAATTATAAAAAAGGTACACATTTTCCAGTACATGTTTTACGTTTTTATTTATTTTACTAAAAAAAAAACACATCTTGTATATAGATTCGATAATTCGAAGTCATTTCTATATGGGCCGGCTATACGAATGGTTGATTGTAAAAGCATTTAAATAAATTGTTAATTCTAACTCGTTTTACTGGACTATTAGGTCATTCAATTGTAAAAAGAATTTTCTGTCCGAGTCGGACACTAAACTGCTGATTCTTATTCGAAAGATACACCAAACTTTTAATACACGTATCTTCACTGTTATCATCTAGATATTGCCACAAAATTGGTCGAACGCATATGTATTTGTTAATTAGCTGGCTAATTAACAAACGCAGATCATGAAAAAGAGTACCATTCCCTCTGAAAAAGTTCATTAATTTCAACTTCGAAAATTCCTAACTGCGTAAAATTAGAAATTTCCATCTCTCTCTTGTAGTGTTTACCCACAAAATTTTTAAACATCTAAATACATATGTTAAGCAAAATATTGGAGAATGTGTCCACCAAGTATTTGGAATCCAATGATGTTTATGTTACAGAACCTCTAGTCCAAATAATTATGACGTCTTGAAATGCTATTATATTTTTTTTCTTTGATGCCTTAGGAAGGCGTCAAAGCCTAAGGCGTCAAAGCCTAAGGCGTCAAAGCAAAAATTTTAAATAGCCTTCCAAGACGTCATAATTATTTGGACTACAGAAACTCCACATATAGTATTGTGTTTATGTTTATTGTTTGTTTTTTTAAATCTACTTTGCTCAATACAAATACTAGCATATGGAACAAATCTCCGTGATTTTAAAAGCTTTCAGTAAAAAAAACGCAAACGACAGTATTAAGTCTTCATTCGACTCGAAGTTAAACAAATAGTTGATTAAAAAACCACAACAAAAATGTCCAAGTTTAATTTCGGTTGTGATTGTTTTGAAACGCTATATATGCGGAGCTTCCGGGGGGCTTCGCCCCCCTGACCCCCCTACCAGGGCTTTGCCCTGGGCCTACTGGGGGCCTTAGGCGGCCAAAAGATAGTGTCAATTGCTTCTTGCTCTTTGTACTCGGTTAACCCCAGACCCCTCGCCCTTTAGTTTGTGATTCCACTTCATTAAGAAGGTAGCTACGCCCCTGAATTGTTTTATATTTGAATCATATAGATGTGATTGCATAACTTTACGAGTGAGGGAAAATTTCGGCAGCGCAAATACAGAAGAAATTACTTTTTTCTAAATATACATTTTACAAATTTTCAAATAAAAAACAACATTACGTAAAATTGTATTTTGTTCACAGTTTTAAAACTGCGAACTCTTGGATGCTCTATGTTTTACATAAAGGTTAGTGAAGTAGTTAGCCCACTTTTGCAAAACACTATATATGTTACACTAAAGAGGTAATGTAACATCTTGCTAAATAGTTATCGCGCTCACTTTTATTACATAAAATTACCTTAATCTAAACCGCTGTTATACCAAGTCTCCAGTCAGGAGGCTTGCAAAACTTCGCAACGCTGTGTTTTCTCGATTTGCATTGAAAATATTCCGTTTTTGGAGGTATAATACCTGACGAACATAAAGAAAGTCATAAACAGGGACTCTCAGAAAAAAGGCTTTGTAAAAAAACCTTTAGTTAGAAACACGGGTTCGTTTAGGAACCATAATGCTTGTGGTTTCAGAGATTCGTTTTCCTCTAAAAATTTAGTTCAGTACATGATATCTAGGTAAAATCATATTATACATAAAGATATAAAGTTGTCTTTTTCACGTTACTTTGATTTAATTAACTTCAATTTTATTGCAGATTGAGGTTTCATACTATTGAAAGCCATGTTGTTCCACAGAAGGCTTCTCGGTTTCAGTAAATTTCTCAGAAAAGACATATGCAGCAAACGAGGTAAGCTTAATTTGCATTGATCTATGAATAATATTCATATATTGTTAATATGGAAAGACATTGTATAATGCAATTGAAGTTTGAAAATTATACACAATAAGTCTAAATTTGTAAAAATAAATTCATTCAGTGTTATGATTCAGACGGATTCGAACGTTTAACCTTGACTTGTAAAGTTTTTGATCATCATGACATTTGAAAAATGCGACAGTCGTTACAGTTATTATCTGAAAAAAAAAGATTAGGTAATGACAAACCTAAAATAATCAAATTAACCTAGTTATAGAAAACTATGACACGCTGCATTTATATTTATTAATCGTTCAAGATATCTCAAGTTATTTGGAAGACATCTTTGATATTTCATTCGATATTTAAAAAATAGAAAGGTATTTTATTTACTTTTCTTTTATATGTATCTCACATATTTATATATATATATAAGGTATCTTATATATAATTATAAGCTTATAAGTGATTTAGTGGTTGTCGTTTGTTGCTGTATATTATATTTGTTTTTCGTTCATTATTTTGTACATAAATCAGACCGTTAGTTTTCTCGTTTGAATTGTTTTACATTTTTCCTTTCGGGGCCTTTTATAGCCGACTATGCAGTATGGGTTTTACTCATTGTTGAAGGCCGTACGATGACATATAGTTGTTAATTTCTGTGTCATTTGGTCTCTTGTGGAGAGTTGTCTAATCTAGCAATCATAGTTTTTACCACATCTTCTTATTTTTATGTTTAAGAGATATCTTATAAACTTTATGAGAGATATAATAAATAATATATATAATATAATATTTATATCTTATATGTTTTAAGGTAATTTGTTTATAACAACTTTGTAAAATACTTCGTTTCTGTGATATCTTATGAAGTTATATATAGGATATCTTTAAAAGAAGAAGATATCATATAACTTAGAAAATTCGGATATTGGCAAATTAATATAAGATCCTGAAGCAAATATAAATTAAAAAAATAAATGATTTACTTGCCTTTTTATATTCGTATTGAAGAGAGCGATCATTGTTATTTTGTTTTTCGATATCATGCCCTTAAGTTTGTGGGATATTTTGTTTATTTTTATGAGATATCTAGTAAAAGTTCCTATATAAACTGTTTCATAAAGTTTAAGATAGTTTATATACTTTATGAGATGTCTTTCATATTTCTTTAAATATCTCTTAAAATAAGAATAGAAAGATATCTTATAAAGTTTATGAAATATATCTTGTATACTTTATGAGATATCTTATTTTCTTTGTTAAATATTTTTATATAAATTTGAAGATATTTTACGACACAATGATGTCAAAATTGATTTCAAACTTGATGATTTCTGACAGGTAATGTGATCAGTAACTTATTTTTTTAATTTCTTGAAGTTTGTATTGACTTTGATCCATATATATTTTTCTGACTTACTCATCTTTGTAAAAAAAAATGCTGAATTCCTCGTAAGACTGAAAACTCCAAATAATGATGTTTTGCAGGACACAATGTTATTCCCAGTATGCTATCAATTGAAAGGTGCATCAAACGGTCACACAGGGGCATTTCTACTGGCAAAAGGTTAACAGACACAGAACTAGTTATATTTGACAAAGATGGAACAATTATCTGTTTTCATACAATGTGGGCACCATGGTCGAGGGAACTCGCTGTAAAGTATGTACAATATGTTTAACTTCGATAGTTTTGCTTAGAAGAGATGTTCAACTCGTTATGACGGTCGGATTAACATTAAACTGATAAACTGTTTATACCGTTCAAAATAGTTAACACGTCTGTAATAAATCAAAAACGGATATGCAGCGAATATAACAACGAAAATCCGACGAAATGATGGCAGTTAAACAAATTAATATTAAAACCCTGCATTGGACCATTTGAAAATCACAGTTTTATCCTTTTGTGTTGAGTCCACAGTCGTTTTGGGCATAGACTCTCCTTTTCTTTTTTTCTTTCTTTATGTGTGTTAAATATAACAGATACATATAAAAATAGTTTCCTTGCATCTAGCGCCTGAAGGTTTGATTCTATTATCTGCTTCATTGTACTTGACTATTTTTTTAAATCGATTGCTTTTTTCTTTTTCTTTTTTCTCTTTTTCAGAGTACAAAAAGCAACTGGATTGGACATAGATGATAAAATTTTTAAGACCATTGGTTTCTGTCCAGTTTCAGACAAAATGCTTCCGGGGTTGTTCGCCGAAGGAACAGCATTGCATTCCAAAATTGAACTCGTCAAACTTTTGAATAGCCATGGAGTACCAGAACAAGAATCAAGAAAAATAATCGATGATATTTGGACAGAAGGTGAACACAAGAAATATTTGAAGCCTGTTGGAAACCCAAAATTGGTATTTGAAACTTTAATCGACAATGGGATCAAGGTAGCAGTATGCACTTCTGACAACAGAGAAGGAACCGAAGCGGTTCTTACAGAACTTGACCTCGATAGATATATAAGCCGGTTGATGTGTGGTAATGACCACGACAGTGTGCCTAAACCTGCTCCTGACAATGCGCTAAGAATATGCAAGGAACTTAACGTTGATCCACTTAAGACTGTGATGGTTGGCGATACGAAAGCTGATGTGCAAATGTCACAATCCGCTAAACTTGGTTTGATGATAGGTGTTTTGAGTGGTGTCGGTAAAAAGGAGGATCTACATGGTTCTGACCATCTGATTGATGATATAGATGGTATATTTCCTTTAATTATGGACATTCCAGAGAACAAGAATCGATACGCACATCAAGTAAAAGAAAATAATTTCTGTGACTCAAATGTAATAAGGAAACAAAAATTTTCTACATATGCTCCAAAATACCCAATAGGTTATCTGAATTCTTTTTCTGGATTCGCAAGTAAAAAGTACAGTACATATTCTGATAGCAATACTTATGATTACGTGATTGTTGGTGCTGGCTCTGCGGGGTGTGTTCTAGCAAACCGACTTTCAGAAAACAAAGACAATAAAGTACTGCTTTTAGAAGCTGGTCCCAAAGATAACTCTTGGAAAATACATATGCCCGCTGCATTAATGTACAATCTTTATGACGACACATATAACTGGTACTACAGTACAGAACCAGAGCCCGGTACGAATAACCGTGTAATGTACTGGCCTAGAGGAAGGGTATGGGGCGGATCGTCATCCCTTAATGCCATGGTGTATATAAGAGGAAATGCATTAGATTATGATAATTGGGAAACGTTAGGAGCAGAGTCATGGTCGTATTCTGATTGTTTGCCGTATTTCCGGAAGGCACAATGCCATCAACTTGGTGGGAATGATTACAGAGGTGGAAAGGGGCCTCTGCATGTAAGTCGTGGTATATCTAAAAATCCACTGTTTCAAGCGTTCATTGACGCAGGCACACAGGCTGGGTATCCTTTAACTGAAGATATGAATGGGTACCAGCAAGAAGGGGTTGGGTGGATGGACATGACAATTCACTATGGTAGACGTTGGAGTTCTGCTTCTGCTTATCTAAGACCGGCACTTAGGCGGGAAAACCTAACGACAGAGGTCGAGGCTTTCACTAAGAGAATTTTATTTGAAAAACAAAGAGCAATAGGAATTGAATATGAACAGAATGGGGAATCGAGAAAGGTTTACGTAAACAAAGAAGTCATATTAAGTGCAGGAGCTATCAATTCACCTCAGCTGTTAATGCTTTCTGGAGTTGGAAACGAAAACGAATTGAGAAAACTTGAAATACCAGTGATCCAACATTTGCCAGGAGTAGGACAAAATCTCCAAGATCACTTAGATGTACGTGTACAATATGAATTGAGACAGCCAATATCACTTTATAAATATCAGTGGAAATATCCCCACAACATGATTACGGCTGGATTACAATGGTTTCTGACCTACTCCGGGGATGCAGCTACTGCTCATTTTGAATCTGGTGGTTTCATTCGCAGTAAACCAGGCGTAACACATCCAGATATCCAATTCCATTTTGTTCCTACAGGTGTGGATGATCATGGTAGGAAGATGTTGGACAGACACGCCTGTCAGATTCATGTTGGAACCATGAGACCAACCAGTCGAGGATATGTTTCACTAAAAACAAAAAACTATAAGGATCATCCTAAAATTGTTGCAAATTATTTATCAACTCAGGAAGATATTGAAGACATGAGGGCATCTGTAAGACTATCTCGGGAGATATTCCAACAGAAGGCGTTTGAACCATTTGTCGGAGATGAAATTAATCCTGGCAAAAATGTTCAAAGTGATGCTGAGATTGACGAATACGTTAGAAGAACGGCTGATACCAACTATCATCCTTCCTGTACTTGTAAAATGGGACAGTCCTCAGACGAAATGGCAGTGGTTGATACACAAACTAAGGTTTTTGGTTTAGATGGATTACGAGTAGTAGATGCATCCATCATGCCTGCAATGATAAGCGGAAATTTAAATGGACCCACAATAATGATTGCCGAGAAAGCATCGGATATTATCATGGGACATAAACCACTTCTAAAATCTGAAGTCCCAGTTTATAGACCTAAAACTGTCGAAACACAGAGATAAGCATTGTCACTTATAATATTTGATTCACATTCAATATAAGTTGCTGTGTATGCAATTTTGCATGTTTGAATTAAGATAGTTTTGATTTCTTAACTATACATGCCTAAAACTCGAAAATAACATATCCTAGTAAGCATTAAAGATCGTTTTATCTGCAAAATGCAAGATATATATTAAATACCCACATGCATGCAAAATAGAAATATACCAGAGGAAGCAGAAAAATAAGTTGTACAATTGGAGGAGTTCTTAGCAGTCAATGTAAAATTTGAAATTTGTCAATATATTTGAAAAGTTTTCTAGTTTACATCATTAGATCTTTAGTTCTATTGAACTTTAGCCTTTAAATTTGACATAATGTTTATTTTACTCCAATTTCAAAAAAAATGTTTTCCTCTTTCTCAAATACAAATATAATACGAATAGAGGTTGTAATGTCTTAAACATCACTTAAGGATCGAAGATATAAAGATAATCTGTTCACTTGAATATTATAGCTCAAGTATAGGAGTAAAGCAAACATTCGCAGCTATGTATACGACCATGTATCAAAGGTGCTTTGTGCATTTTACTTTTTAACACATGCTGCACCTCTATGGAAAAGAGGTTATGCAGCACGTATAAAAATTGTTAGTGTATATTTAGTCCCCTACCGACGAAGTCGAAGGGGACTTTAGGTTTGCACTCTGTCCGTCTGTCTGTCTGTCCGTCAGTCCGGCAATTTAGTTTTCCACATTTTTTTCTTCGCGCTTGAAGATATTGATTTGATAATTGGTATATAGTGTTATCATGACAAGTTAAAGATCAAGTTCGAATTTTGTTCCGATCTGATGATTTTGTCCAGAGTTATGGTCCTTGGACTTAGAAAATTCACCCAAATAATCAGTTTTCCACCCTTGTTTTTGTCATGCATGAAGATATTGATTTGATAATTGGTATGTAGTTTTATAATGACAAGTTACAGATCAAGTACAAATTGTGTTCCGGTCTGATGATTTTGTGCAGAGTTATGGTCCTTGGACTTGGAAAATTCACTGAAATAGTCAGTTTCCACACCTTTTTATACGACCGCAAAAAAATTTTTTTGGTCGTATATTGGTATGACGTTGGCGTCGTCGTCGTCGTCGTCGTCGTCGTCGTCGTCGTCCGGCGTCGTCGTCGTCCGAAGACACATTAGTTTTCGCACTCTAACTTTAGTTTAAGTGAGTGGATCTCAATGAAATTTTACCATAAGGTTCAATACCACAAAAGGAAGGTGGGGATTGATTTTGGGGGTTATGGTACCAACAGTTAAGGAATTAGGGGCCAAAAGGGGCCAAAAATAAGCATTTTTGTTACTTCCAGACATAACTTGTGTGTAAGTGTATGGATCTCTCTGACATTGTACCACAAGGTTCCATATCACAAAGGGAATGCTGGGATTGATTTTGAAGGTAATTGCCTCCAAATTTTAGGAATTAGGGGCCAAAAAGGGGCTAAAAACAAGCATTTTTCTAGTTTCATGACAATAACTTGTGTGTAAATCTATGGATCTCTCTGACATTGTAACACAAGGTTCCATATCACAAAGGGAATGCTGGGATTGATTTTGGGGGTAATTGCCTCCAAATTTTAGGAATTAGGGGCCAAAAAGGGGCAAAAAACAAGCATTTTTCTAGTTTTATGACAATAACTTGTGTGTAAGTGTATGGATCTTTATGAAATTGTACTACAAGGTTCCATATCACAAAGGGAAAGCTGGAATTGAGTTTGGGGGTATTTGCCCAAAAAGTTTAGGAATTTGTGGCCAAAAAGGGGCAAAAAAGTTTATGGATTTCTCTGAAATTGTACTGCAAGGTACCATACCACAAAGGGAAGGCTGGGATTGAGTTTGGGGGTGATGAATCATAAGGGGGTTCAACAAATTTGGGGGGGGGGATTTTTTTTTCTTTAAAATTTTCCATTTTAAATTGGTTACTTCTGATTTATATATAAAAGCAGATAATAATGATTTGGTTTGAATAGGTAAATTAAAATTTTTTAAGTTCTTAGACCACTTTCATTCTGTGTCAGAAACCTATGCTGTGTCAAATATTTAATTACAATCCAAATTCAGTGCTGTATCAAGCTTGAATGTTGTGTCCATACTTGCCCCAACTGTTCAGGGTTCGACCTCTGCGGTCGTATCAAGCTGCGCCCCAGCGGAGCATTTTATTTCATCATGCTTGGAGATATTGACTTGATATTTGTTATATAAGTAACACCATGACAAGTTATAGATCAAGTATAGCATTTTGATCCAGTATAATGAAATTTTAACCGGTAGGGGACTAATACAATCCTCTCAGAATGCTTGTTATATATATATTGTAATATCTAATGGATAAAAACAAAATCACATTCAATAGCTGAAAATAAGTTGAAATATTACAAGAATTTAAACACCTTGAATAAAGAAAGAAAAAGGGGTTCATGGCCCCAAGCGCCTGTACCATCATGGGTAGTAAAATCGCCATATCGATGAGCGTTTAGTAACATAAGTTGGACATGATTGTGTTAAGTGTTTTTAATGACAAACAATGACAAAATATAAACATTCGGATTTTTTGCTTAAGGAACTTCTGAACATAAATTCAAGCTGGTAAGTATCTTTGTCTATTATAGCTAATATGTGAGTACATTCAAATTTGTATCATATAGTTAATACTCTGACACAGAATAATGCTTGCGTATGTCAAAATCTAAAAGTTGTTTATTCGTTTCTCATGCATAAAAAAAGTGATTTGTTTACTGCCTGTTACATCACATTTTTCGTTATAATATAAAACTGCCGTCAATTATTCCGAAAAATAGCTACATTTGAACACAAATTAAGATTACTGAAAAAACGGTGTCATGGTTTTATTTCAGTAGTGTCATGATTTAGTTTATGTTCGACATGGTTCAGTTATGGGATTCCTGTTGTGAATGATGGAAGAGTAATTAACAAAATAAACAGACATTATACAACTATTGAAATACTGTTAAAAAAATTGTTTTCGCCGATACGTTTGTTTTCGCGTTTAACCCATTCTACTAGTATCCTATTTCGAGGCAATATATTGTCGCCATTTTATAATGTTGTTGTTTTGTTCCCATACGAGTAGATATAACCTTCACATATTTACATTGATCTTGTTATCGCGAAAATACATCGCTCGAGAAAATAATTCGCCTACAGTAAATTTAAGATATTAACTATAGATATAAATTAGAAGATGTGGTATGAGTGCCAATGAGATAACTATCCATCCAAGTCACAATGTAAAAAAGTAAACAATTATAGGTCAAAGTACGGCCTTCAACACGGAACATTGGCTCACACCGAACAGTAAGCTATAAAAGGCCCCAAAATGACTTGTGTAAAACAATTCAAACAGGAAAACCAACGGTCTAATCTATATAAAAAAAAAAACGAGAAACACCTATGAACCACACCAACAAACGACAACCACTGAACAACAGGCTCCTGATCTAGAACAGATGCATAAAATGCAGCGGGTTTAAATATTTTAACAGGCACCAACCTTCACTCTAACCTGAGACAGTAGTGTAACATTACAACATAAAAAGACACACTATAAAATATCAATTGAAATGGCTTAACTCGATTAAATAGACATTTGAAAAAAAATAAGTAAACATACACTGAACGAAGAAGTTTGATATATGACACAATATAAATATAATATTAAAACTTAGGTGCCTATATAACATAGACTTTACAGGTAGTAAAAAAAAGATGTAAGAAGAGTGTCATTAAGACAACTCATGTATTAAGAAATCACGAGGATAATATATTAATGCATTTCAAATGCATTTTTTTTAAGTAGTTTTATTTGGAACACAAAAGGACCTACGAAAGCCCATAGTAATATATAATAAGAAGATGCGGTATGATTGCCAATGAGACAACTATCCACCCGAGACTTAACGATGTAGATGTTAGCAACAATATAGGTCGCCGTACGGCCTTCAGCAACAAACACAACTCATACCTCTGAGATAGCTATAAAAGGCTCCGACAAATTACATGTAAAACAATGCAAATGAGAAAATAACGGCCTGATTTATGTTCAAGATAAGCGATTGCCGAAAAAAATAATATGATATACAGTAACAAACGACAGCCACTGTATCACAAACTCTAGACTTGGGACAGGTAAATACAGAATATGTCAGGGTTAATTAAGTATCAGGGGCGTAGCTACCTTCTTAATGAAGTGGAATCACAAACTAAAGGGCGAGGGGTCTGGGGGTAACCGAGTACAAAGAGCAAGAAGCAATTGACACTATCTTTTGGCCGCCTAAGGCCCTCAGTAGGCCCAGGGCAAAGCCCTGGTAAGGGGGCCAGGGGGACGAAGCCCCCCGGAAGCTCCGCATTTATAGCGTTTCAAAACAATCACAACCGAAATTAAACTTGGACATTTTTGTTGTGGTTTTTTAATCAACTATTTGTTTAACTTCGAGTCGAATGAAGACTTAATACTGTCGTTTGCGTTTTTTTTACTGAAAGCTTTTAAAATCACGGAGATTTGTTCCATATGCTAGTATTTGTATTGAGCAAAGTAGATTTAAAAAAACAAACAATAAACATAAACACAATACTATATGTGGAGTTTCTGTAGTCCAAATAATTATGACGTCTTGGAAGGCTATTTAAAATTTTTGCTTTGACGCCTTAGGCTTTGACGCCTTCCTAAGGCGTCAAAGAAAAAAAATATAATAGCATTTCAAGACGTCATAATTATTTGGACTAGAGGTTCTGTAACATAAACATCATTGGATTCCAAATACTTGGTGGACATATTCTCCAATATTTTGCTTAACATATGTATTTAGATGTTTAAAAATTTTGTGGGTAAATACTACAAGAGAGAGATGGAAATTTCTAATTTTACGCAGTTAGGAATTTTCGAAGTTGAAATTAATGAACTTTTTCAGAGGGAATGGTACTCTTTTTCATGATCTGCGTTTGTTAATTAGCCAGCTAATTAACAAATACATATGCGTTCGACCAATTTTGTGGCAATATCTAGATGATAACAGTGAAGAT